AGGACTATATCTCTGCAACCTCTTTTAAAAAAGACACGATTTTTTCCCTTTAATAATAAAGGTCTATAATTCTTCATCAAAAGAAGAGAACAAATACTTTAAAAATACCCTTTTTTCAACAAATGGCATTTTTATACTATAAAACTTTTCTTTTCCTGGTGGTCTTTGCCACAAGAGAAAACTAAAGTTTATTTAAAAATCAGCTATGAGCCTGAGATATAGTACAGTTAATATATCAGCTTTGAACCGATTTCTAACAGTCTTTTTGAAGTATCTTTTAAATACCCTTCAACCATCTTTAAACAGCAAAGCATTCCTACCAGATTAAAAGTTTAGGGACGTCCCTGGTGGTCCAGTGGTTAGGACTCTGTGCTTCCACTGCAGGGGGCACGAGTTCGATCCCTGGTCAGGGAACTAACATCCCCCATGCCGTGCAGTGCAGCCAAAAAATAACCAAACAAACAGAAAAAAAAACAAAAGAAAACAAAAAACAGTTTAAAAGGTAAAGGATGCCACTGCTAGATGAATGATAGGTTGCAGAAAGATCTCTCCATAATGGGTAAACAAGTCTTCTATAAGAAGAGGAGAAGGGAAAATATTGACAATGAGCCCTTCAAAAGAGAAGCAGTGCTCAGGCACATATTCCAAGTCTGATAAACAGCTACTAATCAAGAAAAGTCTGGCATTAATAATGGTATGAACTAGAAATTGCAAGGTTCAAAGAAAGTGAGAGATACCATCTGAAGTAAAGGGAAGAGGCTAGTTTCTTGCCAATCCCTCTCTAACTCTGACCATCTATATCTGATCACATTATTGCCCTGCTCTTAGTTCAAAAGTGATTTTTCCTTGTTCATGAGATCAAATCTAAACTCTTTTGCATTCTGATCCCAATCTATGTGTCCAGCCTCCTCTCAGTCTGCTCCCTCTTTACTGTCACCAGACCCTCCCACCACCCTTCCTTTTCCTTTCACCACGCTGTAAATAATTCTAGTAAAGCAATTATTTTCTTGCACAGTAATGATTATTTTCCATATCCTATCACCTTAGAAAATATAGCAAGCTACTTGAGGACAAAAACCATTTTTTACGATCTTTGTATTCCCAGCACCTAACAGAATGCATGATACCTAATAAATATTCAATAAATATTTCTTTAATGAATGAATGAGTGCTCTTCAGTGAAATGGTCCATATCAGAGATCAGAAAAAAGGACTTAAATTCTTGTTTTTAAAAGTAAGAGTATAATACAAAGTTACCCTGATTTAATAAAATGCAGTGTTGGACACAAACACTTAGAATATAAAAATATAACTGCATGAGAAATTAATTGTTTCAAGATTTGTCATCCTCAGATAGTAACCACAATGCTCACTCTCCCCTGTAAAAACAAGGTGTCAAGATTTTAATTATGAATCAACATCTCTCAGCCATGGGGTATATAAACTTCTTCTGAAGACCAGACTTCTGCAACATTTTTTTAAAAGGTATACAGAAAGGTGTTCTTACATGTCTTTAAAAAGAAATTGACAGTTCCTTGTGAATTGTAAACTTTCTATTTAGAAACAATTGGACGCTTCCTGCATTAAATTCTTGGTTTTGTTCTTCAGTTAATGACATTTGCATATAAAACAATATCTTTGTTTCTTAGGAGATCATTTGCTTCTGAAATGAGATGTATTTATCTTCTACAGAAATAATTTCTCCTAATCGTGACACAACTAATTTTGTTATTCTAAATATGGGATATCATCAGCCATGGTAAATGTATAGCAAGGGCAATTGGAACTCCAGAGAAACAAAGATTTTGTTTTTCATGACATTCACAAAAACAATCCTATTCTAGAAAATGTAATCTTGTATTTGAATAAACAAGAAACAACATTTCTAAACTTTTACCTAATTCAGCTACAAAAATGGAAAATTTTAAACTCCAGATTTCATAGCAGAAAAAATATTATTTTTGGCAGCCCTTGATAAAATAATATTTGGAAATTGACTGAAAAATACTGCTAATATTTCAAATTACTAGCATTTATTTACAGTAACTCAACATTCTTGAAATGTAAATTTAATCTCTAACTGAAAAGAACTATTGTAATAATAAACTGGCATTAGTTACTATATGTATAGGAATGCTAGTATCATTCTGAATGTATTCTTATTTCCTAATTCTTTTGATTACCTTTTGCTGTTAGCATTTACAAAGCATCTATTTTAAAAATGACAATTATTTACATCTATAAGTGGCCTTGAAATAGTGACCTTTTTGGGCCATGGTGTGTGTGGTTAAAAAAGTAAAAATAGGCTTTATAACATAAACCTAGTTAGAATACTGATTCTATCTCTACCACCTCCTAGCTGTGCACAGTAAGTCCCCTACATACGAACAAGTTCCATTCTGAGAGTGTGTTTGTAAGTCCAACAAAGTTAGCTTAGGTACCCAACTAACACAATTGGCTACATAGTACTGTACTGTAATAGGTTTACAATAGTTTTCACACAAATAATTCATACAAAACAAGCAAACACAAAAAATAAAGAAAACATTTTTAATCTTACAGTACAGTATTTTGAAAATATGGTAGTACAGTACAACAGGTGGCATACAGGGGCTGGCATCGAGTGAACAGGCAAGAAGAGTTACTGACTGGAGGAGGGAGAAGAGGTGGGAGATGGTAGAGCTGAAGGATCGTCAGCAATAGGAGACGAGGGCAAGCTGCAATCTCACTCACGCCTGACATTGATGGAACACGTGTTCGCATCTTTGAAAGTTCGCAACTTGAAGATTCGTATGTAGGGGACTTACTGTACAGATTACATTAGAAAAATTCTGATTCTCAGTGCCCTCACCTTTAAAAAAATAGGTTTTCTATCACAAAAGTTTATTCCAAATATGCAATGTACATATATAGCATGTGGCACATAATACATGTTCAATAAATAGTTATCTTCATCCATCAAAGATTAATGCCTCCCTATTTGGCTCTAGCCACACTAACCTTGTTGGAGTTTGAGGGAAGAACTGAACTTGTTCTGCCTCACAGTTTTTATACTAGCTGCTCTCTGTGTTTGGAAAGCTCTTCCCGTCTATTTTTACAATAGTTGCCTCTTAGCATTCAGGTCTCTGATTAAACCTCTCTTTCCCTGAACATTCTATCTGTAGAAGATTATATTTTCCAAAGACAGTTGTAACAGTATCTCCCATCTCACATGCTCTTTTACAATGTAGAGGTGGGGTCTATGTTACTACCCCTTAAATATGTGTAGGCTTAGGAATTCTAAACCAATAAGCATATGACAGAAATGATGTGCAGTTCCTGAAACAAAGCCATAAAAGGGGATTCACAGAGAAATGTTCATAGCAGCATTACCAGCCAAAACCTGGAAGCAACCCAAATGTCCATCAGCTGCTGAATGGATAAATAAAATGTGTTTATGTTCATACAATAGAATATTATTTGGCCATAAAAAGGAATGAAGTATCAATAACATGCTGAAGCATGGATGAATCTCGAAAACATACTAAGTAAAAGAAGCCAGACACAAGAGGCCACATATTGTATGATTCCATTTATATGAAATGCCCAGAACAAGCACATCTATAGAGACAGAAAGTAGATTAGTAGTTGTCTGGGATGAGGGGATTTAGGGGAGGAACTAATGTGTACGGGGTTTCTTTGTTGTAGTGATGAAAATATTCTGGAATTAGACAGTGGTGATGATTGCACAAATGTGAACATACTAAAAACCACTACTGTGCACTTTAAAAGGTAGAATTTATGGTATGTGATAACAAAAATTTTAAAAATATACTATGAAGAGAAACTTTCAAAAAACGAATGAAACATTTCTTCATGGTTTGCTAGGTTTTAAAAAAATGGAAGCAGTTTCTAAACTGTTCCCTAGGATGTTCACTTTTAGAACCCACAGCCAAAATAGTCTGGCTACCCTAAAGCCACCAGTATGAGGAAACCAGGCCACTTGGAGAAGCTGAGGCTTTTGAGAGCCCTGTAAGGTACCAGTTGAGAGCCAGCATTAACTGTCAGACACAGAAAGAGGGGAGCTTCCAGATTCCAGCCTCCAGCCAGAGTCACCCCCTGCCGTGCCCCACGTGCCATGGAGCAGTCATTCCTGCTGTCCTGACTCAGAACCTTCAATCACATAAAATGGTTAGGTTTTGCAGTGGTCTGTTTTGTAGTAATAATAATGAGAACACTACCTAACACATCCACCACACCACAACCTCCCTTTATCTAGCTTCTTTTCCTTCATGACATGACACATCTTCATCATATGACATTGTTATATATATATTTTTATTCTGTCTCCCTCCACCAGAAGTGAGTTCCCTGAGAGCAGGGTCCTTTGTGTCTTGTTCGTATAAACACACCACCCAGAAAAATACCCAGTATATAGTAGATGAATAATATATAATTGTTTGAATAAACAAATTAATGAATTAGTATGGAATCCTCAGCATGGGGAGGGCACTAGTTGAAGCTTGCTTTGGTTTGGCATGATTTCCAAAATATAGCTACTGTCATTTCATTAACTCTCCCAATGAAATACTTCCCAATAATTAAGTATGAAAACCCTCACTATTACAAATACAAATTATCACTGTTTCTTTGTTTCTAAGGAAAATCCAAGACGGTTTATAAAACTGTTCACATTCTTGCTGTAGTCATTCAATTATTCTATTTTAATAAATGAAATAAAATAGGCATAATCAAGAAATAAAACACACATGGCCAAGAAATAAAAATGGACTTTATTGTAGTTACCAGTATCCTTGTACTTATATAGTTTATAAAGTTTAACTTATATATATTTTTGCCCTAGAATACCATGTTGAACAAGTGGGAGCAAAACAGATTTGATTCATGTTGAAATCCAGGTCAAAGTAGTAGACACTGCTATTTTTTTAATGCTTAAATGGTTTACTTTGCAAAACATTATATCAGTGTTATTTTTTTCTATGAATGGAAACATAGCCTACCTCTGGTGCCAGATATTCTGGTGTACCACAGAACGTCTTCATGGTGGCTGCATCTGTGATCCCTTCTTTGCAAAGTCCAAAATCTGTAATTTTTATGTGGCCATCTTTATCCAGCATCAAATTCTCCAACTGTGTAGTAAGAAAGACAACATAATTTGTTCTATAGTCTTCAAAAATAGGAAAATACTGTTTTGAAAAATAATTGAATGTTGAATAAGATATTTTGGAAAGAGGACACAGAGTTAATAGAACTTTTCAAAGACAAACCCTGTAGCTTCCTAACTCATGTGTAAAAAGAAACATTTTATCAAATACTTCACAATAATAAATTGATTTTTAAACCCATAGGAGTAAGAGCTGTTATTGCACAAGTTCTGAGAAGTAAAGCCTAATTAACTTCCCAAAGCAAACATCAATCCTCTTTTTTCCTGTTTAAAATAAATTGTGATCTAAACAATCCCAAAGAGACAAGCATCTTCTTCTGGATATATGCAGATGGTTTTCAACCATTTCATTTGGGAGTCTGTTGCTACGATAAAATATTCACTCACAGAAATGTTACTTTGGTGGTGGTTATAAATCAAACCTAAATCTTGTTTTGTAAGGTAAGGCAATATCCTCTTTTACAATTCTTTGTAATAAAGAACTACCAACCCTTTTACACATAAAAAGAATATGAAAGTCAAACATTCAACAGTTAATGAAAACATATAGCACAGGTATTATAAAGTTGGAATCTGTTTGAATCCATTAATACAAAAAGAACAATCTTGAAGACATAATGCAGAAATGCATTCACAAAAAACACGTGAAAAAAAATAGTAGCATGGGCTTCCCTGGTGGCGCAGCTGTTGAGAGTCCGCCTGCCAATGCAGGGGACACGGGTTCGTGCCCCGGTCCGGGAAGATCCCACATGCCGCGGAGCGGCTGGGCCCGTGAGCCATGGCCGCTAAGCCTGTGCGTCCGGAGCCTGTGCTCCGCAATGGGAGAGGCCACAACAGTGAGAGGCCCACGTACCACAAAAAAAAAAAAAAAAAATAGTAGCAGGATGAATGATAATTAACTTACTTAAGGAGTAGATCATTATTCTACTCCTTAACATGATGATGTATGAAAGTGCCTACCCAAACTCTGAAGTCAGTATCAAATTCAAAATAGAACTCCATATAAGAACATAAACAGACAACAATCATATAAAATGTGATGGTGGTATACTCTGTCATATTATCCAATGTCTTATAAACCAGAGACTAAATACAGTTAAGCAAGCTCAGAGTACACGTAAGTCCTTAAGTATAGAACTTAAATGTGCTACCCAACTGAACTCAACGCTCAATATGTTTCGTGCACTGCATAGACTTCAGAAGTGAGTCTGTTTTTGACTTGTCTACAGAGAGCTGAATGAACCATAAATATATTGCTAAACCTTTCAAAAATGAAAGTTCTCTTATTTTATCTAAATTCAGAGAGTTTGCATCTTCCTCATGATTCTCTACTAACTGGACCCCCAAATCAAACCCAATTTGCACAAATGGCAGTAAGTCCTAAATAGGGAAAACAATCAGGAACGTCAAGAATCTGTCTACTTCTCTTTCTGCCTTGAAAACCCTTCTCTTCTTTCTGCTTCTGATTTTCTCCCCTTTTTCCTTCTCTTTCAAACAACACTCTCTTCTTCCTCCTGCTCCTACTTTGCCATAACAAGAAAGAGAAGTATACACTGGAGTGTCTGTTGTTTTGTTGAATGAAAATATATATGCTCTTTTCTTAACTTTTAAAAATATGCTTATTGTTCTAACATATGAATACATCATAACATATAAAAGCAAACCAAATTAAGTTCTTAAAATACTATATCTTTTATAATACACAAAAATTCTTACAAAAAAGTCAAATAATACATAATAATATTGAATAAAATGTGTTTGGTGTATATTATGTCAATTCGCTTTATGTGCTTTACATGCAAAGTGAAACATGATAGTATGCGCTAATGTGCTAATTCTCCACATTCTGACGAGACTATTTTGAAGTGGATAGATACAGAAGTATCAAAACATATAAATACTGTTTTTAATACCAATAAGTACATACATTTTTTAAAATCCCGATTCATACCTAATTCTCTAATCTCATATCTCATTTCCAAGATACCAAGGGTTGAGGGATGAGGAATGAAATGAGATGCAGGGACAGGGTTTGAGTGAAGAATAGGAACAGGATGAAAGTGACCGAGAGTCCCAGTTTACCTAGAACTGAGGGGGGCTCCAAGGATGCAGGACTTTAAAGTTCTACAACTGGGGAAGTTCTAGGCAAAATAGGACAGTTGATCATTCTACTTATTTTATAAATCAGCTTAATTACAATGATATAGTCAGAAATAAGGTCAGCCTACAGGATGACTGTGAGAGATGGGGTAAAGGTCACCATAATGGGGATAAGGTAGCATATTGCATAGGAGGCAGTAGAGAGCAATGTGCATAAGATTATGGAGTCAAGTCAGAGAACTTAAATGTAAATTCAAGTTTTATCTCTTACTGTGTAACCTATTGACATCTATGTGCCTCAACTTCATCTATAACACAGAGTAAATAACAGTAACGATCCAATGTGATTGTTTTGAGAATTAAATGAGATACTGAATGTAGAACTTAATCAATAAATGTATTTGATCATTTATTAAACATGGAGAGTTTAATGGCTGATTCATAATTTATCAAAATGGTGTGTGCTCTTCTATACAAGAGCAAAGTTCAGAAATGGAACCCTATAAAACACTTTTGTCAGCTCGGTGACTTCAATAAAAACACATTTTTTTTTTTTTTTTTGCGGTACGTGGCCCTCTCACTGTTGTGGCCTCTCCCACTGCGGAGCACAGGCTCCGGACGCGCAGGCTCAGCGGCCATGGGTCATGGGCCCAGCCGCTCCGCAGCATGTGGGATCTTCCCACACCGGGGCACGAACCCGTGTCCCCTGCATCGGCAGGCGGACTCTCAACCACTGCGCCACCAGGGAAGCCAAAAAAAACACTTTTTAATATGCAACAATTTCTTTTGAATAAACAACAAAACAAATATTTTACAATTTTTGAGCCAGTTATTTTATAATAGTGTCCACCTTCTTCCATCAATTATTTTTCTTCTCTCACCATCCTGAAATGTCATTTTGCTGAGCATGAATGACAAAAACAACTTGTCCATCAGTATGAACAACAGTCAGAGATATATCACCTTAAAAAAATGATATCCCCAAATCTAATCTTGTATAAAGATAAATTGGGGCTAATTAAATATCCAGTCTGGTTTAAAAAATAAATAATAATTTTATGCAAATGCATAACAAAGTTTTCATAAAATATAAGAACGATCAGTGTTATGATTCACAAATGTGAAGGATGCACAGAATCACCTGGTAATCTTTCCAAAGCAGATCAAAGGCTTAGATATATCAAAAACAACTGGAAATCACTTCCTTAGTGCATTTGACACTAACATAAAGAAGATTTCATCAAACATTTTTAGGGACCCTTCCACTGTGTAAAGGAGGAATAAAAATATTTACAAACCACCTTTCTTTGGTTCTCTCTCCTAAATCTAATGCTTTTCTTCTTCCTTTTCTTAACCATAAAAGGAAAAATGCATATACTGTAACTGACTGTTCAGGTACTCTCTATTATAAAACTTTATATGCATCTGTTTTATTTCCACTGTCAGTCTTAGCATCTGGGATTGAGAGCAGGGCATTATGTTTATGCTTAATGGATGCATCTACCAGCAAAAGCAATGTATGAAGTTAAATAGGAAGTCTGAAAGAAAAGATTATATATTCAAATCTGGGTAATGCTTACAATTTGTATCAGAGGGTTGTTTGTTATCTAATAGTTCATATTTTGAGGAGACAAAAATATTAGACATCCTAGAGTTTCCATTTAAAAAAGGCAACATTTTTTACCCAGTTCAATTGGACAGGCATTATTTGACAGAGGATCTTGATTTGGTAGATTTTGAAATCTTTTTCCTCTGTGCTTTGTGAACAAGAAACTATAGCAAGAAAACACTATGCTCCTTTTTCTGCTCTTGCTGGTGCCTAGAATAAAATTAAACTCTTCCTATTAGAAAGTTTAAGAGTTTTTAACTTTTAAGCTTTTAAAAGCTTTCTAATATACAATTCATATATATTCTAATATCTATCTATGATAAATATACACACACATATATATATCTTTTAGGTATCATTTTAATTAAATGGCTGACACTTTGTGATTAAACAAAGGAATGATAATAGCAGTTCCTAAGGCCTCTGAGAGCTACTGTAGCAATACCAAAAACAAGACCCTTCACTCACTCTTACAAATCCTTTTTAGCACAGTTACATCAGTACCAAGACTGCCTCAGGCTCAAGAATGTAATAAGAAATTCCTCCCCTGCACACTGCATATTTAGGTTTATGGGTATCCAAGTTGCAAATGTCACATGGCTGACCTGCAGGAACTTAATGACCATGGAATTAAGACAGTGTGTTGAAATGCTGAAAGGAAAACTTTGAACCTTCCTAAGATGGAAAAGAATTCACAATATACAACAGCAGAGATCCCATCTAGGTTGGGGTTTAAGAAATACTACATTTAAGAATTTACTACACTTGAGTAACATAGCCCAATAGTATAAGTTAATGTTAGAGGTGGAAGGGGTTCTTAGTAGCAGTGGCTTAAATTATAAAAGAGGGAATCCAGAGTGACTGGTTAGAAGTGGGAGTTAGAGGATGTGTCTTGAGACTCTGTATGTAACGTAAGCACACTGTTTCATTCAGACCGCTGGTTTATTTAGGAGCTGAGGAAGATTGGGAGGGCTGTGATATAAGGCTCTCTGAAACCATCCCTTTGTGCCATCACTGAGTCTTAGAAATTATCTAAATCTATCTGGCAGTTTCTCACGTTAACAATGTAAGTGGTTAAATTAACCATTAAATTTCTGATTAGGTAGAAAACAAGATTAGATTTTCCACAAGTAGAATACAGTAGCAATTTATGCATTATTCTTGCCCCTCCCCCTGTCATAAACTCTTGGGAGAAATGAATTCATTTTTAGAAATATTTATTTATTTTTGGCTGTGTTGGGTCTTTGTTGCTGTGC